AAACACCATCAATATAATCAAACAATGCACTTTTTTAAGACCACGTTCAAATGCAATCATTGACAGTGAGATGACTCCACCGAGATCTCCGTGTCGGCCACGAGCGAATGCATTCTCCGAAAGTGTTTGTCCTCAAGCTACCTCAGCCTTTGATATCGCTGCTCATACAACGGAAAATCTCCATGTCAACTTTCCATGTTCACCACCATTAGACGTATCCTGCTATGACAACGAACATTTCGTCTTTGACTTTCCGTGTCGACCGCGCTCGAATGCCATAGTGGAAAGAGACGATGATCTTAATGAGAGTTCAAGATCTGATTTTCATGAAAACAATAGTAAGCTTACATGCAAAGTGTAAGATTTTAAATATATATTTTATTTATTCAGGGTACGTGTATATGTTAAAGTGCAAAACGAGGTGAAACTATCTCTCCTGTTTAAATTATTTTTTGACTTACGGTCGAGATACTGATCCACACCCTATTGTGCTGGAAAATCGTACATATCTTCAGGGTAAAACGGAATATCGACAGCTGGAATTTCGTCATCGGAATTTCGGCATTGTGGTTTTGTGCTCAATATTTTTCGACAAACTGTCGAAAAACAATCTGATTGTCGAATTTCAGGTTGTTTTTCGACTATTTTCTTATGAAAGCCAGTGAAATAACACATGACGCGTTTTACCACGTACTAAATATACATTTTGCTATAGTCCCCAATGACAGTTTTCTGGATACGTCACTAAGAGACAATATGTCACGAGAAGAAGACTCGTGAAGAAAATTGTCAATCTCGACCGAAATTCTCGAGCAGAATTTGTGTGATGGGAAATCCGGTCGATGAATTTATTGTTGCTTCGTGATCGCGTATACCCAAGAAAAAGGTAATGAGCACTACTTAACCGACAACGATAGAAGCGAGAATTGCGCTGACCATACCCCAGACACCACCGATGTCGGCTTTCTTTGTCTCTTCAGTCGCATGAGCCGATGCATCATAGCCCATGAGGCACTACTGAGCTTGAAGAATACCGATCAAGACCACTTAGGCCTACGAAGAGCGAGAACAACTAAGAAATCACGAATCCTACCAATATCACACTTACTGTACTAGACCGTCCCGTTTTATTATTGAAAAGTAAATACAGACGAGGCTGATAGATGACCTGGTTTCACGCCGATTAGAAGAGCGAGAGAGACAACGGTAGGCTCTAATAATTGCCACCAAGTTGATGCATAGGTAATCCAACAAAGAAATCGAGGTCCAACTGAGTTACAGACAAAGCGAATGCGCCAGCCATTTTGGCTGGAGAACGAGCGCTTTTCAGTATTTTATTCACTTCTCGCTTGTTGAAGTCAAAATTCACCCGAATAGTTTTGACAAATCTCTTCAGAATGGTTAGGGCTACTAATACCCAGTAGTTCAATCAAAAGCAATTGAATACTATGATGAACAGCCGCTTTTCTTACCGGAAGAGAATGAAGTTTAGAGCTTGGGTTGATACTATTCTCCCCGATGTTATTCTTCTTCAGGAATTACATACGACCAAATCAGAGCAATCCTTTAAAAGCATATTTAATGAGTATAACGTTACGGTGGGTGGTGTCCTGGCAATGTCAAAAAAGAAACACCAGGTGGTGGATAGTGGAGTGGATCATGTGGGTCGCTTTACTTTCATCAAATTGATGGTTAAAAATACTCCCATCGTTTTTGTTAGTGTGTATGCTCCTGGAAATCGACCGACTCAACGACAAAAGTTTTTCAATGACTCAGCTCCTTCCATACCATTTAGACTTTCCTACTAATCGGCGGTGATTTCAGTTATGTACCTGATCCTAAACGGGATCGAAATAGAAGCAGCGAACGATATGACAAATCCTATCCGTGTTTGAGAAGGGAGATTATTCAACCTTTCCATTTATTTGAACTTTTTCGGTCAAAACATCCTCGTACTATAGTGTACTCATTTCATAGCATTCCTCATAATGTTCATAGTCGTATAGATTTCTTCTCTGGGACCAAATCAGTACGAAATATCACACAGCGAGTATCATATGTTCCTGTCGGTTTGTCGGATCATGACAGCATCTCAATCGAACTTAACATGCCCTCGAGTGCCTCTTCATATCATCGTTGGATACGCAACTCTGCAGTTGTGACTCGAAAGTCGTTTATGGAACGTTTCAAAGATATTTGGAGTGTCTTTCTCAGAACAGCTGATTTTGAGTGCCAGGAATGGTGGTTAGATTTCAAGACAAGCCTAACATTGCTATTACAAGATGAAACCCATGAGATGGTGAAAGAGTCCCGGCGCGAATTATTCAGTTTACAAAAGAGTTATCGTCGTTTACAGCCTATCACCGGATGATTTTACCTTGATGGATAACATACACAACCAAATTCGTGAAAATTTGGAAAAAAAAGCTCTCGCAAAAAGTCCTGGAAAACATGAAAGAAATGTCAAAGATTTGCGTCTGATCGCAAAAACAACTATGGCGAGCACAAAAGCTAGCCAAGCTCGTATTCCCTTTTTGGTACATCCTACGAAAGGAAAAGTAGAGTCTATATCAGAGATGCTGACGGTAGCCACTGATTTTTACACTGAACTGTACAGTGAAAAACCAGCCGATAGTGGAATCTGGAACAGATTCTTGACCGGTTTACCGAAACGCAGTCCTCAAAATATTGATAAACTAGAAAAAGAAATCACAGTTGTAGAATGCTATGACGCTCTCAAGGAAATGACGACAGGACGATCTCCAGGGGATGACGGGATCACGGTAGACGTATAGAGAGTAATATTTCCCATCATTGGTGAATATTATGTAAAGATGATCAATGTTGCATGGGCAAACCAACGATTCCACTCATCCTTTTTACGTGCCATTTTAACTTTGTTAAAAAAGGAAAGATTTGTCGAAGGATCGATGAAAGGTTTCCGGCCACTTTCTTTGATGAATATCGATTACAAGATACTCTCGAAAGTGGTCAGCAATAGACTACAAGCACTGGTAAGCACATTAGTTCACCCTGACCAAACTTGCTCTATCCCTGGTAGAACAATACAAGATAATGTGCACTTAATCAGGTCGATTATTGAGCATTACTCAAGGAACCGTGAGCCACTAGGTATCATTTTATGGGATCAAGAAAAGGCTTTTGACCGAGTCAATCACCGTTACCTCTTTGAGGTGTTACGGAGTTTTGGATTTGGACAGAAGTTCATTCGTTG